ATCTTTTCTGTTGTCCCTTTTCCAATTTTCTAAGTTTACATTTGTCCAAAAAAGTCTCATCAACAAATTTTCCAAGTTTACAATATTTGTAAATTGTAATATAATATTAGTTTACATCCATCACGAATCAGAAGTCTCACCTTTACGAGAACAAATATTAAAAAAGTTTTGACATTCTTAGATTACCATACTTTTTATCTTGGGAAAATTGTAAAATAGGTTCTCGAACTTTCATAAAAGGTCCATTTAATCCTTCTATAGGAGGTTCTGTCTGGCTGTCGCGATTTGGGGCAGTTCCAGGTGGAATTTTTTATGAAATTTTTTTAGCATCTTATTCACCAAGTCTAGTTTAATCATACCAAATTTTAGCTAAAAATTCAATCAGGAACTCATTCAAATTAATTCTTGAAGATAACTACGCATTTTTGCGTTCTCGAATTAATTTGAATGCGCTCCCGATTCAATTTGTAGCTGAAATTTGGTATAAGTAAACTTGACTTGATGAATAAGATGTTTAAAAAATTTCATCAAAAAATTCCACCGGGAACCACCCCAAATCGCGACGATCAGACAGAGTCTCCTATAGAAAGACTTAATTGACTTTTTTATGAAAGTTCGAGGATCTATTTGACAATTTTCCCTTTTATCTTCTTTAAAAAAATAAGAACTTAAATTTGTACCGAGTACATATACAATTCAAAGAGGCAAAATTTCATATTTTTATGAAAAGTTTTCTCCATAAAAGATAAGAGACTTCCAATTTGGGAAACCCAAATGAGAAATATTGACACTTGAATTGGATCGGAAGGAGTTAATGTTTAATTTTGGTTAAAATTTTCTGATCCTGCTTAAATCGGACTATTTTGGTCTAGTAATTAACGTCTCTATTAGTGTGTAATCTTCTACGAGTATTATCTAAGTCAGGTTTGATGTTTCTTGTTTAAGGTTTGTTTATTTCGTTGAAGTGTGGTCAAATTATTTCATCACAAAAAACTGTCGAATTAAAAAAATTTGAGATAATTCCCGGACTAAAACTTCTACAAAATGCAATAACAGGACTGCAAGTGTTTGTAGTGCTCGGTAGGATTAAAGTGAGGTGACATAACAACATTACCCTTAATGAGTAGATCAGTTTATCAATTAATTAATAATACAAAATGAAATAATAAAACAAAATGGGAACCCCAGCAGTCCTCACGCACAAAACAAAGTGGTAGTGCAACCTCCACTGTCACTACCGGCGTCATCGCCACCGCCACCGGCGTCGGAGCTGCCACCACCGGCGTCGAAGCTACCATCACCGGTGTTGAAGCCGCTGCTGCCACCGGCATCGGAGCAGCCACCACCGGCGTCAGAGCTGCCACCACTAGCGTCGGTGCTGCCACCACCATACCGGCATCGTCGTCGCCTCATCTGCAACCTTTGGCATCGCCGCTGTCGACCTCCATTGATTTGACCATGGTAGAGCTCAGATCCATCTCAAATCTGGTGAAAAATCATTTAATGCCATGTTAAAATCATAATGTCATTTTGTAAAAAATACATGACATTAATGGTCATAAAATATGGCATTATTTGCCTAACACATTTAGGTAACATTGCTATCTTTTTGTAATTAATGCCAACTTCGTAAATGTAAAATGACATTATTTGCCAAACATATTAAAACCATGTCATTTTTAAAATAATTTTTTCATCTCAATACATGTAATATAATTAAAACATTAATTTTTTTTTTTCATCTCTATACATGTAGTATAATGAAAACAACATTATTTTTCAAATATGTTTTTCGAAAAAATAAACATTAGCTATAGATTTTTCAGATCCAAATTCATTAAATTGATAACTCTAAAATAAAGAAAGTAAAATTATTAAAAAAATTTTTTATTTTTTAAAAAAAAATTGTTGGACGTTTGTTCTTTAATAACACAAAAAGTCAGATCTAAGATTTGTATATGAACAACTTACGAAGCCTTAGATTTTCTACTCCCAAACTTTCAAACCCATATCTAAAATTTCCCATTTTGAATCTGAAAATTAAAAAAAAATACAGAGGTCCATCAAGGGAAGAAGAAGAAGAGGAAGAAAAGAAGGAGGATGAAAGGTAAAAGAGAGAGAAGATGAGAGATATTTACCAGAGAAAAGCTTCGCACCACATCGCCGGAATCTCGCCAAATCGCCAAAACTCCACGTCGCCGGAGTGGAACCACGCCGTCGGAGGAGCACCGAGTCGATGGAGTGGAACCACGCCGCCGGAGGAGCACCAAGCGCCGGAGTCGCAGGTTGTCGAGTCGCCCATGTTGTCGGAGTAGAAGATCTAATATTGTTTGTGGGATTGGGGTTGTAGAAGAGAGGAGATATTGGAGGTGCAGGGGAGGAGGGAAAAAAGAGGGAGAGAAGATAGAGAAGAGAGAGAGAGAAGTGTTGGGGTGCGTAAGAAGAGAATACGGAAGGTTGAAAATAAAAGAGATGTATAGTTGGAACAGTCAAATAATTAGTCCTATTGAGAGAATAAATTAGGGAGTAGTCCTATTTAGGAACTTTCCTATTATTTTAGTTCTATTTAGGGCAAATACTTAAAAAAGTTATATACTCCGTAGTAGTACGTTATTGGACTTTTCATCTGGTTTGACTTAGGTGTCGTTTGGTTTTTGGCGGTTGGCAGACAAACCGCTAGAAAACGTAGCGTTTTCTTTGTAAAATAATTGGCGTTTGGGCAATCCGCTGGTTTCCAAACGGAGCCTTAGTATACATTACAGGCATGTCAGAAAAGCCCGATCCGCAATGACCCGCCTTGGCCCGAGACATTTGGGACGGGTCAGTCTCGCCCCGCCCATGCAATGAGGCGGGTCCGGGTATTAGTATTGACCCATGTCGCCTCGCCCTTCCCCGCATGGGACGTGGCATGGGTCAACAAGTTTGGACACGTGCGGGTCACGGGGCGGGGCGGGTCCACCTAGTGAGATCACGGAGCGGGTCTGGGTCTTATAGTATCCGCCCCGCCCTGATTCATTCTCATGCGTAATATATTACCCTTATGTTCTCATGCTACCCTTGAAATGCTTCAATGTCATCTATTGCATGAAGTCAACGTACTAAAACAAGTCAGATTAATTAATATAGTTTAATTTTTCCCTGCAGTTAAACAAGAAAAAACTTGCTAACATTTTGATTCATTGTTGACTTGATCATATACTGATTGAAATATATTCGATAATCTAGGGTATGTATATTCTAGATTGAAATCAATCCAATAAAAAACTTGATGTAGTAAATGCACTTGTTTTCTGATTTGACTTACATTACCCTTATGACGCTACTGTTAATCAAAACCCTCTTGAAATGCTTGAATGTCTTTTATTGCATGAGGTCAACGTACTAAAACATGTCAAATTAATCAATGTAATATAATGTTAAGTCCTTGCAACATGCATTTGATGCGTGTTAGAATTGATTTTTGTGATTTTTCCTAACTTAAATGTGTCACAAAACACTTAATCAAAGTAATCATTCCCAAAAGTAAGATTATAGCTTACCTTAAAGAGATATTATAATATCTAATTCATTAGATGTTATCTAATTCATATGATTTCTGAGAGTCAACCGCACAAGATTTTACTTATTTAACCGGTTGAGTATGTCTTTCTGCACATCTAAGATAGTGCTTTATTGCCTCTCAAAAAAAGATTGTGCTTTATTTAAAGTAAAAACTAATTGATTACTGAATAAATTAGAACGTAACTAATTAAAAATATAAAAAAAGCATAAAAACAACAGTTACCTGCGTTTCTCGGAAATTATACCTAAACTAAATAAACGAATAATATAAAGATGATATATGCATGACCTTACATGTCATTTTCAATTGTTACCGATTTCATTGTAGCATACAATCACCCAGCATCTTCCTACAAATAGTAAATATTTCACATCATCATTTAAGATGATAAATATTATCAATCAACTATAGTAATTTGATAATCCTTCCCTTTCATAAAATTTTATCAACTTTCCTTTTTTAATTATACTCCCTCCGTAACACTCATATCTTTCCACTTTCATCTTTTAGCTGTAACATTCATATCTTCACATTTCTAAATCTTCCTATCATACTCTCAATAATTTTAAAAACAATACATTATTACAACTACTTTTTTTTTGGATTTATCATTCATTCCAGCACACTATTTCATTATCTTCCCATCATACCTTCAATAATTTATAGGAGTATCTCCTTTCACTATTTTTAATCTCACCTATTTTTCAAATGGAAAGATGTATCTTTTACGGAGGTAGTATAAAAAAACTTTATTGATCAGTTCTATTTAAAATAAAAAATATGATTTTATGTAATTACATACTCCTTAGTATGTAATTAAAGTTATTCTACTCCCTTCTATATAAATTTTATTCACACAATTTTAGTTTAATATTTCACATACAAGATAGAGCATCTCCAATGCTGCAATGTGCACTGTGTACATGTGGCATGAGAGATAGCTATATAAGTATTGACAAATAAATTATTTCTCTCCTTATTTGAATAATTTCATATAATTTTGGTAAGTTTTTCTTCACTATGTCAAAAATATCATTTAGATGTTGACATTGTGGTTGACATTGCAGAGAAAAACTTCTCAAAATTATACACAATCATTAAAATAAGGAGGGTGAAAATTTGTTTGCTAATATTTATATGGTTATGTCATATGTCACATGTGCACCGTACACATAACATTGAGCATGCTCTTAACTTTAGACATGCTCTTAACTTTGACCAAGTTTTAGGGGAACTATGAGACTAATTTATACTACTCCGTAGTATTCATCAATTGTCAAAGTGTCACACACTCCCCCAAGACAACTAGACAAGCCAATGCTTAATAATATGACAAACAATATGGGCCCGAAACTGGTAGCGGCCTTCAGGCGGGTTTTACGGCCCAAAAGTCAGATTTGTCTCCACGATGTGGAAAGGAAAGCCTTAAAAAAGCCATGTCATCGGTCTCTTCAACTTCTTTTAAGTCTCTGCCAAAGTGAAAAACAAAAAACTGTGAAGATTTAGAGAGAGATATTCAGCCATGGCGTCGTGGGCGGACGACTTAGCCGACGACCTCCAGAGCATAAGCTTCAATTCCGCCACCACTACCACCGCCACCGAAATCAACCGCTCCACCAGCTCCGGTTCCGAAGCCACCTGGACGGCTGCTTCCTCCGGCTCCTCCCATTTCCTCCCTTCATTCTCCGCCAAGCCTCACTCTGCCATTCCCTCCGGTGATCCCTGCTGGGACGCCATCCGCCGAGCCCGATCGTCCTCCTCCTCCGGATCACTCTCAGGCGCCGACCTCCGCTTCATCAACCGCCTCGGCTCCGGTGATATAGGCTCCGTCTATCTCGCCGAAATGAAGGCCCCGCCGCCAGCAACGGATCCTCCGCAATCTCCGTCCTCATCGCCGCAGCCGGCTCTCTTCGCCGCGAAGGTGATGGACAAGAGGGACCTGGCTAGCCGTAATAAGGAAGGGCGGGCGAGGACAGAACAGGAAATTCTGGAGATGCTGGACCACCCGTTCCTTCCCACTCTGTACGCCACTATCGATTCCCCGAAATGGTCGTGTCTCCTAACTGAATTCTGCCCCGGCGGGGACCTCCATGTCCTCCGCCAGCGTCAGCCCGCAAAACGCTTCCCGGAATCCTCCGTCCGGTACGCCGCTCTCTCCATTTGCCCTGATTACACATTCATATAATGTTTTTAAACGCGAAATTCAAATATCAAGCAATACATGAGCATGAGCTGATCAAATTATGAATCTCAAAACTGATAGGAGCCCAAAGTCAAATAGTTTATAGTTTTTGGGTACCAGACAAATAATTTAACAAGTTCTTTCAAACTTTTAATAAACTATCTTTAAGTATGGATGTTACAGGATAAAGAAATGTTAAGATTTGAAATTCTATTTTAATATGTTGGACGTGATAGAATGAGTAATCCAAAACTTTAAATAGTGTTGTATTAAATCATGTGCTACATAACTCTGATACCATGTTAAGACTTCGAATTCATCATATGTCAACATGATAGCATGAATAATATGAAACTTTAAAGGTGAAAACTCCGGTACCCATTTAAAAAATGGGATACCGTACGTATCACTCATTTGATTGGTTCAAATCATTACATCATTTTTAATTTAGATTTAAATCATTCAACTAAATCATTCTTATTATCCATGTGGCCAAAAGTACGGTAAAAACCTAAAAAACCTTCAATTCTTCGGATATGGCCTTTTAAGTTTTACGGTTAAATTGGTATGAAGATTCTATGGTGATGAAGTTATGGGAACACTTTTTTTGGGAACTAACGGCGGGGGCCACCACCTGGCGGAGTAGCTGGTGTTGCCAGTCGGTGGGGCCGTCGCTATTTACTCCTGAAAATCGGATCTACAGCGTACCAAACTTTCGCGGTTGACCATCGGCCGGGCTATATCCCGGCGTTTTTAGCTGCCGGAAAAGTGATACGAAGTAAAAAGGTTCGTTGCAACCGTTGCTACACGTTGATGTAACTTCTGCGCTTTCCACTGATTTTCAGCTCATAGCCAGAGTTTTATCACCCAATAGGATGTCCACACGATAGTGCCATGCTGAATAATTTGGGACCTTGTCTAATTACAGTGTTTCTATATGTCTCTTGTAGGCTTGTAGCCCAACCTTATGGTGGATTAGACTTGAAAAATAGAAATTTAAAAATGGAATCAATTAATTAAAATAAATTTGATTTGGTCATTACTTTAGTCAATTAGAGCCTTTAAAACAGTATTAATTAAAACAACAGTGTTTAGTGAATAGTGAACATATTTTATAAAACATTTCATGACCTATTATGTGAACATTTTTGCTTCATACATCACACACTTTTTAGAAATAGGAAATCAAGTCACATAAAAATGTCTATATGAATAAAATCAAATGAACATATAAAAATTGTCACAAACAATAAATGTCTATTACAAACATCGATTTTCATAGATACACAAGTATGTGGGCAAACTGCAAAGTAATAAGAGGATTTCAAATGGTACAATGTGCACTGTGAACATGTGGCATGAGAGATAGTCAAATAAATATTAGCAATGAATTATCTATCTCCTTGTTTGAATGATTTTATACAATTTTGGTAAGTTTTTCACCACAATGTCAAAAAAAACCGTCTAGATGTTGACATTATGATTGACATTGTCGAATTTTTTATACCAAAATTGTATAACATCATTCAAATAGTGAGAGAGATAACATATTTTCTAATATTTATGTGACTATCTCTCATGCCACATGTGCACCGTGCACTTCTACCATTAGAGATGCTCAGACGCTCTGATCAATGAATTTGTTCAAAAAAAGATTCGTCTATAACCTCATTTGAGTTAGAGTGTACACACAACGTGTGTATAAACTATATACGGAATATAAATGTGTGCTCTTAATAAAATTGAACAAATAACATAAACCATTAAATCAATCAAAGTTTTAAACCCTATTTGATTGATCAATAACAAGGTTGGTTGGGGGTGATATGTTAGTTGAGGAGATCACGGTGGGAGCTCACAACTCACCATTAGTACAAACACTTCGGTCCGAATTCTATATTAGAGTTGACTTAAGAGCCAAGAGATGCATGTATTAGGGGGGCAAATTAAATTTCTTGTTTTTTCTATTTTTCCAATTTATAGTAATAATTTCCATATTTCCAATTGAGTGCCCAAATTTAAGGGATTCGAAAAATCAAGAAATGTACGAGTTCCGTGAACTTTTGCCGAAATTTAGGCATTTAATGAGTAATATAGAGTTTATTCAGCTCCGTATCATTTTATGAGTTACTTTGTATTTAATAAAGAAAGTTTTTATCTTCATTGAATCACTGTTGCCTATTATAAATCAGTTTAGTTGACTATAATCAAATATAAAAAATGAGTTTTTTTTTTCTTCGGATGTGGTTGAGAAACTCGAGATTAGATTTTCAACTCGCATAGTATCAAATTTGACTTTATGATTGTGGCAGTTTGGATTCAAAATGTCTAAATCACCCTTGGATTTGCTAAATTCAATAAACATGCCAAAAAATATGATATATTTGCAATCAAATTATGAAACTTAATTAATTAATTTGATGACAGCATGAAATGTTTGAGAACGCCTCTTATTTTCATGGATTCCACAGAAATTCAAATCGGGAACACCTGAATTATGACGAATTTTTAAACTCCATTCAAATCCATCAAAATCCATCAAAATCCAAATCGGGACACCCCTTAATTAATTTGATGAGTTTATGGATGACAAACGTAACAGGCCGTATGGGTGCACATATCCATTCCATAATCGTATTCACCTAAAACTTTCATGCCAACAACCTATTTGAAATCAATGGCATCAATGACGGGTTTAATATGAAAATTTGTATCCATCCTCACGAGTTACATTCCCAAAATTAACCACTTGCTCATCCCCTATATATCTACGGTCCACCAAATAAGCCCATCATTAGTTTTAATGTTATTACGTAGTATTAAATTGCAATATCTTACGAAGTTTCAAAGTTGGATAAGAGCATCTCCTATCTCTAATAATCAATTTTTTTTATGATTCTTACCATTTAAATATTGTCATGTAATTAATTATAAAATAATCTCAAAATTCGTTTATGTCTCTCACTCATCATCTTCAAATGATATGTTTTTCTCTGTCCTGCATTAATTTCTATTACATATACTATTCAAATAATCTTAAAATAATCGAGATTCATATTTTGATCCCAGATTATTGTAGCAAATAATTCCATTAAATAATCTATGTCACTCAATGATAATTCTCTAAAAAAACAGCCATGTCACCAATTTAATCTCATAATAATCCTTCCAATGAGGATGCCCTAACATCGCACAATATTTTATTAATAGTATGTTTGAAATATTACAATATACAAACATCTAAAATGGAGTGTATGTTTGAAATATACGAAGTATAAGTTTCTCTCTTTCAACTTTTAGACCATCTAAAATATCGAAAATTCTTAGATGTATATTTAGAAGTTGTTTTAAAAAATACGGTACATGTTTAGTATGCATGAGCTATTATCTCTTAGCTTTTATACTACTTAAAAGCTTCTAAAAGTTTTAAGTTGTATTTTTTTACACAATAATTTTTTAAATGTTTTTTGAAAGTAAAAGATCTTTTTAAGAAGCCGCACTTAATGCATGTTTGGGAATATCCCCATCTTCTAGCTTTTATACTATTTTAAAAATCTTTATAAACTTCCAATTGTATATTTAGTATAACAACTTTAACACAATATAATGTCGCAAAGACTCTCATCTACGGTGGAGTAAGGAGTCTATAACACTTAGTACAGAGCATTAATTAGTCACAATAGCTTATTGTACCAAACAAATAAAACAAATAGTCAGTTTTTTGACAAAAAGTTGCAAATATTTTTTCAATAAAACACGTAGAGGCGTAGAGCACTGTGATTAAGACACTATTATATTCATTGATTGAGGGAATAAGTTTGTACTACGTAACTTTTAGTGACGAGTCGCGAAATTACATCAAATCTTAAGCTTGCATCAAACAACTACTACGTATAATATTTCCTTTTAAGACTGTTTTAACTAAAAAGTAAAAACTAGGGGTTACCAAGTTACCAATACTGTGACTAGTATACAATTTCGAACTTACTGGACAGTTTAAAATAACCTTTGATAGAGTATATCGGCTCAATAGCACTAGCGGTCAAAATTAAGAGTGTGGTTTGATTTTATTTATCCCCGCGTTAAATCGATAACACCTACTATTAAAATAATTAAAATACCTCAAACTTTGAAGGGTGTGAGGTAAGTACTCCAAACTTGCATATGTAATTTAAATACTCTAAACTTTATATAAAAAGTTATTTTAGCACCATGATTATGTATTATTTGATTATTTCTTTCAAAAATGTTAATTTTTTGTGTTAATTTCATAATTTAAAATATTTTGACACTCATGAAGATACAATTAACATTCTAAACTTTCATTCTAATTTCATAATACCCACTATATATAATTTGAGCGTTTTTAACTTTTTATTCTAAATTATGCAATTAACAACATAAATTTACATTTTTGAAAAAAATAATATATGATCATGGTGCTAAAATAACTTTTTATATAAAGTTTAACGTATTTAAATTAAATATGAAAATTTGGAACGTTTATCTCACACCACTTCAAAATTTGAGGTATTTTAATTATTTTTCCCTACAACACTGTTATCTTCTTTTTTGAAAGAATTACATACTACCGAGTACTCCGTATTATCTACTCCGTATGTTTTGTTTTATATATTTTCTCTTTCATCTCAATTTTTTAACTTTCTTAATTTATTGACGTGTATTGACTTTTTATTTTGGTAGTATACTTTGGGTAACCATAAAAAAGGCGTATGTCTCAAAATAGGACATATCGAGTACATGGTAAAATAAATAAATAAATGACCAGATCTTACACAATATGTTAGTAGGTTAGGGAAAGTATTTTAAGGTTAATAAATAGGCCATATCGAGTATTTGGTAAAATAAATACTCCCTCCGTCACAATATCAAAAGGCTTTCTTTCCAGTTCGGCCCGTTTCTTAAAAATGTCTAATTTCCTTATTTGGTAAGCAAAGAA